GTGATTCAGGCAAGCTTATAAGGAAAATAGGGCTGTGGAACTAGCAGAGCCTGGAGGATGAGTGACAGAATGAAAAGTAAAGTGACATAGTTTTAAGTTTTCCAGAAGAGCTCAGCAAGAGTGAAGAATCCAGCTTTTTTAATTGTCTTAGAATACTTAGAAAACCTCACCCAGAATGTAACTGATCTTGAACTCTTTAATAAAATGTTGAGAATTAATCAGTGACTTCTACCAGTAACTGGGAGACTGAGGTGCTAAAATCAACCTTCTAGTTGGCAGCGTTAGCAGAAAGGTAAATGATGGTTTGACTTTTGAAAAATTAGTCTTCCTAGTCCTTTCTTTAAGCTGTAATTGCTCCAGCATGGGATGGACTGAGAACAAAGCATTTGTGCTGCAGCCTGTGCTGTCAGCACACACCTTTTGTGGATAAGTAATACCACAGCCTCCAGATCAATACAGTCTGGAATGTGCTCAATATGTGTTTGGTCTCATTATGAAAGAAGGTGTCAAACTGTTGCAAACAATTGATCTGTGAAGAAATGGGCTTATGACACCGAGGGCTAAAATCATTCCTCTTCCTTTGAACAACACTGAACGCTGATGAATTCCTAGGAGTTCCAAGCACCATTCCTACAAACAATGAGTAATAGTAGTTTCCTTTCATGAACGTCTCTTAAAAAGGATAGAAAGCCTTGTAGATATGCCTTGTGCTTAGATACTTGTTTGTATTTTTATGGAACAACCTCTAGATTTTAGGGTTTTCCAGAGCTCTCTATTTCGCCATGAAATTCCCCAATAATATACATCAGTTTTTCTCCTGAAAATATATTTCATAAACAGAAAAGTGCATATTCAGGAAAAGATGAAATATTTGCAAGATACCTACTTGTGAGATAATGTGGGGGGTGGGAGGATGGAGCTGTATAATGACCCTAGCAGATGGCCAGCTTGGAGTCACCTTTGCCTGAGATTATATAAAAGCAAGTGTTACTCTTAAAAGAAGTATGTAATTGCTCTGAATTTCATTCACTGTTTACTAAATTGTAATTCCTGGCCAAAAAAAAAAACCAAAACAAAACAAAACACACACACACAAAATCCATTATAACAGGTGCATAATCCAGCTTTGCTTGCCTTTTCTAGCTTCCTCCTGAGAAAAGAAGGATAGTTTCCAAAGCAGCCAGTTAGGATGTAAAGAAGTGACTTAATTAGGCTGTCCTTCCTCAAGACTGTCTGTTCGTAGAATGAACTTTAGTTTAATTTATCAAAGAATAAACAATTAGTCATTTCCAGAATTTTAAGTTAAAAGATAGTTGTGGGCATTTTGTAGCAATGTCAAAAAGATTTCAGAGACACATGCCAGGAAAATGATTTCCAGATGATTAAGATCTCTTAATTGCAGGAAATATCTGTGATAAATAGTTTCTTTTTTATAAGGCCTGCTCATTATCATGGCAAATTCCAACTGACACTTAAAGTGTTTCTCTGGTTATTTCCTATAACAAAATGCTATCAGAAAGATGTGTTTAACAGTAAAGCAGCCTTCCAGCTGTGTACATGCAACATTAACTGGGCTTTCCAGCTCAGGAGTACATTAAATCTTCTCCACTCATCCAAAACTCATTTGAGAAACGTCGAGCCATTTGTATGAGCTAAATGTATGTGAGAAAGTATAAAGAATGTTGTTTATAGTAGTCTGACAAGCTTTTCACTACATCTATTAGGTGATCACTCACAGCCTATTGAATTTCAGACTGATCAAGCTTTTTCTTCAAGAAATTTCCTTTTGTGTCACAATTCTTAAAATGAGTATGGATAGCACTATAAAATCTGTTCTGGAAATCACAGATGTAACCTGTCATTTAGAGATGTAAAGGAAAGTCAGCTCAGTTTTCAAGGGTGCTACACATGAACATTTATTATCTTTTGCGTCCTACAGCATTTCACACTGTAGGTTGTCAAAATCTGTGGGTCCTGGGAAATAGCAGTAGCACAATGCTGGAGTGAAAAATAGCTGTGATATTTAAGTAACTTTTTGGAAATTTGTGTAATTTCTCTGTACCTTAAAGCAAACCAAGAGCTACAGTGATGAGATTTCATTTCCCTTTCTTGAAATTAATTTCATCCTAACCCATAGAAAATAATATTTTATTCAGAGAATGTTAGAAACAAGGGAAATAGTTTTTCCTGTGGTGTTTTGCTTTTTTTTTTTTCCCCCAGATTTTTCAGATTTTCACCTGATCCACCAATAAAGAAGTTTACTTTGTTTATCAGATTATGTAGTTTTGCTTTGGATTTATATTGTATGTGTTTATTTCTGCTTAGCTGGTTGTACTGATCTTGTCAATGACCCATAATACTTATTTCTTGGATTTGTGGTACAGTAACTCTCAGGCTTTTTTGTGAGAAATGCATCTACCTTGGCAAGACATGCTGCTAATCCAAGAATGGCTTCTTTCACTGAACAGAAAGCTTGAAGTCAGCTGGACTTTTTTCTCTCTCAGAAACATACTAATTTAAGGAGAGACAGCCAGAAAGTGGTTTAGACAATATCTGAGGTAGGAGGCAAAAAAGTGTCCTTTCTAAGCCACACTTGGAGTGGAAGCATTATTATTCCCATACGATTTATGAGATGAATGAAGAATTAGGATGTTCTTTCATCACATTTAGACAAAGTTGCTATGTGTATACAAAGTCCTAACTGTGAAAACTGCAATTGGATCCATGCCCAGCTTGCTTAATTTCCATTGTGTCAGAGCTCTGATGAAGAACTTCAGGAGTCCAGATACGCTGCTAGGGTAATTAACTGTGCCTTGCCGTGACAGGGCTGCCTATCAGGAAAAAGCAAGCATACAAGCTTATTGCTCACTTTTTGGAATCATTTGTGCATTAGACTTGGTTATTTAATGGATGTTAGCAAGAGCATAAGAGTAACATGAGCCTGACCCACGCCAGTGGATGGCCGCAGAACTAGAGCAAATACTGGGGAATTTTTTGCAGGCATTGTGCACAAGCTTCCTGGGTTTTGTTAGTGAGCTTATTAGTAGTTCTTAGGGAGTGCTGAGATTTGTAAGGTTGTCTGGCAGTTGTTACATTTTTTTTAAAGCAACAAAAAGGGAAAGTGTTGATGTAGCAAAGCAGTAGCAGAGTGGCTACCATTGGAGACTCCTGAAAGAACTTCATTTGCTAGCCTTGGCAAAAATAAGGTGACTTGGCCTTAGAAATGCTCAGGGTAGGATAATAATTTCAGCCCTGTCAGCACATTTCAGTGATTTACTTCACACATAAGTTAGGTTTGTAAGTAACAAGGACTCAATAAGTATGTGCTAAAAAGCTATTGAAGATTGTAGTGTGTTTCACTGTGCGGTATGAAGCATAGTTACATGCATGTTCTGGTGCAGTACCATCATTTTAAACATTTTCACCACCTTTTCATTATTCCATCTCCAAGGTCAGAAATTTTTTGTTGACTTCATTCATTATACGTACTCGGTTGTATTGGTGGAATTGCTCATGTGTACCATCAGATCTGGGAACAAGACCAGTTTTAAAAAGAATGACTCTGTGAAGAAGATATGTACATAGGTCACTCTGCCTCCTAAGGTAGGAGGCGTTACATTTGGAGCTGCCCTTGTATTTATTGTTCTGATCTGCTCTGGCTCCCTGGTTTGTTTCTCAGTGCAGGCAGCATGATTAAGGGCAAGAGAAGACTGGCTGAAAGATTTGCTGGGAGCTGCCTAGGACAGTGAAGCAGCAAAAGCCTTTGGTGACTGAAATACAAGGTTGATGGGTTTTACTGAAAACTTTTTATACACACATGTAATCTTCTTAGAAAAAATTTGAGTGCCCTCTTTTTAAGAATGCATTTACAGCTGTTCACTAATGGCATTACAAAAGATATGTAGTTCAGTAAATTTTTTTGTCCCATTTTGCAGTGGAAGTTTAAGTCTACATCCAGGCCATGTGATCATTAACTTTGAGTTTCTACCTTTTTTTTTTCTCTATTGTTTCCAAAGTTTCTTATGTTTGGCAAAGAATTGCCTTCTGAGTTGCTATCTTGTAATATTGCAAGAAAAGAAAATGTAAGCGGTGTTAAGCTTTGTCATCATTTTGTTAAAACTGGACATTTATTTATTTGGCTAAAAGTAGTATGTATCTGTGGGTTTTCATGAGTATAAAAAGAAAGAAGCAAGATTATAATAATTAGGATGGGGCATTTTGTCATTATCACTCCTTTAGGAAAAGTCATTCTTTTTCATATATTAAAAAAAGCTTTCATGATTACATACTGCATGAAAGTAGCAATTTGTGGACGTATAAAATTATCAGGCCAAAGTTGATACTATGACAGTGCTCACCTGTCCAAGTTATGTCTATCCAGGTGCGCATAAGAGGGCTAGAGATGGGTTAAACTGAAGATCAGAAAGGTTTTCGGATTGTTGTTGTCCTGGTATGTCTGCTTCTCCAGCTTCTGAAAAGTCATCTGGAGGCGAGCACAGGGGGAAGTAAGCCAAATGTCTTGGTTGATTTTGTCATTTCCTCCCACTATTTAGAACATCAGTATGTGTAAATAACTTTTTTTTTTTGGTTGTTGTTTTTGTGACAAAAACATTTCAAAACATATTTAAAGCCTAGTTCTCAAATGTGTGTGAGTCATTTTCTGCCCAGTCCATGTCACGTAGGTTGTTTAGTTCTATCTTTGCATTTCCTTGAATCGTAGATCTAGCTGAGGACTAGCTGCGTTTGTCTGAAACTTTCAAATTATGTCTGCTAGGAAATGACCCAATCAGTCCAGGCAGGAGGTGGAGGTGGCTGGGCTCCTGGAGCGTAGGATGATGCGCTATTATTTGGGGAGTACTAAAAGATGCTGAGATGGAAGCTATTTTTATGTAGTTGCAGGTATTTTTGGTAGCTTTGAAGGACTTCCAGAAGAGTTCGTGCCTTCAAGGTATCCTATGAATGCAAAACAAAGAACAACCATGTCTGTGCCTGTTGTTTAAATGTGTTGGAATATTACTAGATGAAAGATAAACTTTATTCAAACAATAACGTGCTATCATTAATTTTTGACGTGGTCTGTTTTGGGAGTGTATTATAAGTCAAAACTTTCCCTGAGATCTGTTATTATGAATGTGCCTCTTTATGCATCTTTTGCACAAGTGCATGTGATTCCTATGAGAAGGGCTGGATGTTCCTTGGCAAAATGCAAACCATGCAAGTGGAAATCACGGGGCATGGATGCTGATGATGTGCTTGCATGGAATCAATTGTTTCCCTGCTATTATTGGAAGATCAGTGTAAAAATATCTACTCTTTTGGTTTCATGTTAGCTAAGTATTGTTTCTGTGCAGAAGAAATCATTGATCATGCAAAAGATACCTCAGAACGAGTAAATATTCATGAGACATTTTAATGAAGAAGGAATGGTGAAGGGGGATATATCACAATCACATACTCCATGGAGGATAACGTCTCTAGTTTAGCAGTGGGATATTTTGTTTTCTCTGTGAGTCACTGCTCTTCTGTGATTCAGCATGACACATGAGGTGCAGGCAGAGCAGTAGGTTGTTCTGGAAAAGCCTGTTGCGTGGGGGGGGGCGGGAGTTCTGTTTGTTTGTTTTTCCTCTTGGCCAACTGTTTTATTTCTGGCTCATCTGAATTAAAGTCTGGGCTCTGCAAAGCATAGCAAGGAGGAGAGTGTTTCTGGAAGGGTAGCACTCACAAAAACAAGTTGAGAATTTGCTTACAAGATGGCTGCTTTGATTAGAAATATTTTAAAATCTAGTGATTTTTATGATACAAATTTAGAAAAAAAAAAATCCAAGTGGAAATTTCTGTAAAATACTTGTTTCTAGTAAGCTGTGACATAATCTTTGGTTGTTTGGCCATTTGCAGGACTTGCTGAAACATCTTGTTCTCCAAGGCCCATAGCTTCAGGATTTCTGGTATTCTACCTATGGATTTACTTCCCTCCTTTACTGTGGGATACTTTTCTGTATTTATAAATTTCTGTTGAAGAATGTTTAAGATGAAATTACCTTTGGGCAGGAACAAAACAAAGTGCTGATAGTTGAAGCCCTGTATTGTCAAAACCAGTACAGCATACGTAACATCTACATACAACTGAAAACTTTGCTTCTCCCCAGCAGCCACTTCAGCAAATAGCAAAAGAAAAAAAAACCTTTGAGAGTTGCCTTCTGGTTTTTGAACTGAAATATTCATGTAGGCTACTTGTTTTGGTATTGAGATTGTTTTTTCACTACACTTGCCATGTTATTTACCTAGAAGTAAATATCACAGTCAAATTTTCTTATATCTGCATGGAACACTACTTGGCCTCTTTGCCTTTTCTTGGTAATGGGCTGTGTAGAATCTGAAAAATAGCCAAATCCTACTAATACAAGTCTATTTTCCTTGGATGTATGATGAATAAGATAATTAAGGTATTATAAAAAGAAAAAAGGAAAAACTTTTCTACTTTGAAATGAAAAGAAGAACCTATCATGTCTATTTGGAAGCATTTTTAATTTTTTTTTTACCACTTCATTTAAGTGGTAAAAGCAGTACTTAACACTGCATGAAAAGAATACCTTGGAAAAGACGTATTAAGCTAGATATTTTGAGCAGCCATACTGATAATGAACATAATCAACTGTCTATCAGTTTTTTTGCTATAGACTCCAGTTTTCATTAGGTAACGTAAAAATTTCTAAACAAAATGTGTCATAAGCCTACATTTAGTCACAATTAATTATGAAAATAACTGTATGCAAATTAGTTCTCATTTGACGTTGGTTTGAATGGCAGCCTGTCAACTTTTGAGGTGACTGCTGTTGCCAAAACTATACCCCCATCTAATTTGGGATTTTTAGTTATTTTATAATTCCAGGTTTTTTAGGTGATTCCAAATACCATACCTGAGAACATACACTAGGTAGGCCATGTTCATAACCAGCACTATGCCCTTTGAGTGGGTTTGTAGACTTTAGCTGCGAAGAACATTTCAGCTTCAAAGTGTCCAGGAGGGTTGGAAGTGAGTAGTAAGATTTCCTTTGGATAAGCTGAAGAAAGATGAAGCATTAGATTTTGCATCATCATTTCTGAATTATCATCTCATGTGTGTTGAAATAAACTGGTGGGGCTAATAAGTAGTTGCAAGTGGGCCTTGAAAGTGGCAAAAGAGATTATGGCTGGGACAGCAGGTCTTCTGCTTGGCTGAGACTTTTTTAAAACTTGGTCAGTACACTGAGCAAAAAGTTGTTCTTAAGTATTTTTTGTAATTCTATTACCCTGTGACTGTACTTTGTCCCTAAGGTGCGAAACATTGGGTTCTTGCCAGGGTGTTACAGGCCAGGTGTTGCAGCCCTGTAACATCATAGTAGAACCCTAGAATTGTTTGAGATGGAACAGACTCTTAAAGGTCATCTAGTCCAACTCTCTTATAGTGAAGAGTAACATAGCTACTGTTCGATCAGGTTGCTCAGATCCCCATCTAACCTCACCTTGAAAGTCTCCAAGGATGGGGCATCTATCACCTCTCTGGGCAATCCTTACTGTAAAAAAACATTTTCTTTCTATCCAGTCTAAATCCCTCTCTTAGTTTGAGACCATTTTCCCTTGTTCTGTTACCACAGACTCTGCTACAGGGTCTGTCCCCTTCTTTCTTACAGCTCCCCTTTAGATACTGAAAGGTCACTATCACAGCCTTCTCTTCTCCAGGCTGAACAGCCCCAGCTCTCTCTGCCTTTGTAGGGGAGGTGTTCCATCCCTTGGATCATTTTTTGTGGTCCTCCTCTGGACACAATCCAGTAGGTCCATGTCTCTCCTGTACTGAGGACTCCACATCTGGATGCAGTACTCCAGGTGAGGTCTCACCAGTGCAGAGTAGAGGGGCAGGATCGCTTCCCTTGACCTGCTGGTCATGCTTCTTTTGATGCAACCCAGGATTGGTTGGTTTTATGGGTGCGAGGGCACATTGCTGGCTCATGTCCAGCTTGTCATCCACCAATGACACCTGATTGTAAAATATGCAGGGATGCAGGGACGCTACAGGTTGGCTTGCATTTTTTACAGGCATGCTGTGAGCCCGTTGTGTCATAGAACCAGCACAAAAGTGAACGTAGAGATGCCTTTGTGTCTTCTCCAGCTCTTTGTATTTCCTTTTTTAAACCTTTCTGCCTGTTCTATTATTTGAACTACAGGAGTCATTGAATCAATACTGCAAAATAGCACTGTGAATGGATGTTAATACAGAATCTGTTCTGCTTTTTCTTCAGCCATGAGGTAAAATTTCAGAGCTGTTTTGTGAAGTTTACACCGTTTGTCGCTTGTTTTGATTTTTCTTTTATTTCTTTAAGCAACAGTTTTGATTGTTGCTTTGCAGCTTGCCCAGTAGTAGGAAGAGAGAGCTGTAGCATCTGTGAGCCTTATCCTGGGCCTCAAATCCAGGAAAACATCTGCTGAATGCATCTCCCAGTCACAGCTGAGGCTCTGCTGTGGGACAGGCCACGTTCAGAAGGCCTCCCAGGAGACAGAAGGCTGTGCTTCTTCAGGAGTTCTGGTAAAGGCAGGCTGGCCTTTGTTACACAAGATGTCTCATCTGCTGGTGCTGAAGGGGCATCGGTGACGTTAGGACAGCACAGCATACCAGCCCTTTCGTCTGGTTATTATGGAATTTTGTATTTTTTAGAGCATTAATTAAACAGAAGTTTTGTTTAAGAGACAGAAGATACTTGCTTTATCCCCAGGTTTAATGTTTTAAATGCAACTTCCTTAAGCTGCTGCGAGAGTGAGGCCAATACCATGCTGGAACTCTGCCAATGAGGAAGGTGAAATTCAAAAGTGCCTTTCAGAAAGAGGATCACCAGGCAGAGGGATTTGGAGCAGGGCCGTCTGCTGACTCACGGGGTGCTCACTTTCTTGCCAGGATGAAGGATCACGAAAGAGAAAGCAGTCAGCTTAATGATCTCTTGGTTTCAAGGGTGGGAAATAAATCTGCATAAAGCAAAACAAATTACATAGGATTGACTTGACGAGAGGAAAAAGAGAAAAGCCTCCACATCTGCCATCTGGTTAAACAGTCTTTCCCAGCCCTTGCTGCTTTTAAGGGGTCTGATAAGGTTTTGTCAGATCTGTGAAGAGTTGTTTTTATTCCACCGCTGCTTCACCTTTACACTCATAAATGCACATTCTTAATTGTGTTTTGCTCTTTCTTTTGTTGGCTTTTGACAGAGGAAGCCAGATCAGTTCTGCATTAACTTTCTAAAGATAGGTGGTGTTCTGCTTGCTGAAGTGGTAGATGGCCTTCATGCTGGCTGTCTTTTAATACAGACCTGGAGAATCATCGATGGTTTGAAAGCAAGAAAATCTCTGTTACAACAATAAACAGCTTGTTATAGAAATTAGTAATATGGAGTAATTTCAAGTTCAATTAACATGTATTTAGCTATAATTTTAAATAACTTTTCTCTAAAAAATGGTTATTTTCACACTCGTACCGACAAAACTGCATACAGGTTGTGCTCTTCATTCTTGCTCAGTGTCTGTAACAGTAAGAATGGGTTTCATGATACAGAGGTGGTAGAGAAGGGCCCCGCCATTTGAAAGCAGCATTATTCATGTGCGGGAAAAATATCATGACAGAGGGATTTGCACCATTTTCATCTAATTGTCTTCATATAGTAGAATATGTCTTGTAAAAGTACATTCAGTGAGCATGCTTTGGGGGTGTTCAGAAGTCACACAATTAATATTTTCAGTTGCTAAGGGGAAAGTCCTTGTTTATCAGAGATGTGACATTCATAAGATCACAAATGTAATTTGGAGACTGTTTTGCCTTTCTTTGTTTCTCCTTCTCTCTCCTACCTTATTACTTGGTGTTCATAAGCAGCCTGTGCTTGCTGCAGTTAGGGAACAAGGTTTGCTGTAGGCAACCATTGTATTGCTTTTTTCTTGTTCTGAGCTCATTGAATCTAAAAGTACAGTGGAAGAAACAACTTTTGATAGGTTGCATCACGGTTGTTATGTAATAAATTGCAGATTTCCAGTGTTTTCACTCAGTGTAATTATGGGATGGAAGAAGAAAGTGCTGCTTATAGTGCTGTCTCTGAAATGTGCCAGCAAAGTGGGGCTCATTTCATGAATGATGCATATTGGATCATTTTTTGAAAGCTAGAGCTAAGTGTGGTGCTTCTGGTAATACCATAACAGGTGCTTTTATTTTCTTCCAACAGTTACCCTGCTGTGTGTGAATTCCTACAGCACAATAACTTGTTATCTATACTTCGAGCTCATGAAGCCCAGGATGCTGGGTAAGTGTGTGTGGAGAGGGTACCAGGTGAAACTAAGCAGGGCAGAAAAGAATAACTGAGTGAGAGAGAACTGCAAAACTTAAGAGCTCTTGCAATGTAAAATTACTTGTTATTAATGGTACAAAAGCATGTACTGGCATTAGAATGCGCAATCTCTCACATGATTACTACCAAGCTACAGGACTTAATGAATCCTCATACATCCCAATTACATTTAGTGATATTAAGTGGCATAAAATGATCAGAAGTTATTTGGATGCCAACTTTGGGAGGGGAAATCAGTTCAGCTTAGCAAAATAAATTTTACAAATGTGGCTCACACAGACTGCCGTGATGCCTAGGAAGCAGTCTGGCTCATGAAGGCCAGAACTGTTCCCTCTCAAATTTTTCACATTTCTTGACCTATAGGTCAAGAATATATATACTTTACCATGAAAATTTGTTGAATGTAACATAGTTGAGAAATTTTGATGAAGGGTTGGTATCTGAATTTATGCATTTATGCAATACACCTTTAGGTGTATTGCATAAATTAGTAATGTGTTTATTGTGTTTATTTGGAAGTAGAAACTTTACCCAACCTGAACAGTAATAACAGATGAAGTAATGATATTGTAGGGTTTAGGTCGATATGTACTATGCATATAAAAAGCTATTCTGAATGCTTGAATTATCACATACTTAAAAACCTCAATGCAATTAAAAGCAAGCTATTTCTCTGCCAAAAGTAACTGGCATGAAATACCCAAGGGTAATGAAATTTCATTTTTATTCTATTGCTTTCCAATAAAGGGTGAAATATAAAGTTTTATTGAAAGGATTGCACTGAGTCTCTACAGTGGTTTCAGTGCAGCTATCGTGGATGGCCTCCACATTCTTCATTTTCTTGTAGCTTAAGACTAACCAGAAGTATTTGGTGTTGCTTGTGTCAAATTAAGACAAAAATACTGTTTGGTCAGTTGGCTTTCAGTTTCTTGCAGGTTTAATGCTTGGCTGATTACGTGTTGCTCTGTTGGTCCAGTAAGCCTTTTATTTTTCATAATGCAGAAAGGTTAAGTAATGAAAACATGCAAGCACTAATAAGTTGGCTAATAGACACAATTAGATTAGATGTAGCACTGAAAATATCTGACCCTCTGGTTCCTCTTCCTTTCTCTACTTTCCACCTCCCCAGCCTTGCCATCACTTGCACATGCAGGAGCATAAGCAGCCAGAGGCTTGGGGAGAACATTGCCTTCTCTTCTGAAGGGAGGAGTGCTGGTGCTGGCCTTCACTCAGTCCTGTGAAAGACCAAGTGATGGAAGCTTCCCAGGGTGCCACTTCCCAGTGTGCAAGGACGGGCCACTAAGAAATTCATAACAAAAAAAGAACTTCTACTGTGCTAAATTGCAGTCAGAGTTGCATCTTATGAATATGTGGATTCTTAGATATCCCGACTGGAAATAATGAATAAATCTGCAGGAATTATTTTTTTTTCTGTTTTAAAAAAGCACATATGTACGTCTTCTGGCATTTGTAAATCCCAGTGCAGTAATGTACTTGTGCTTTTTGCACTGTATTTGGTCAGTGATAAGTGAGGTTTCAGCAAGGGACAATTATTAATATCTTCTCTTTCCTTTAGGTATCGCATGTACAGGAAAAGCCAAACAACAGGCTTCCCTTCACTAATCACAATTTTTTCAGCACCAAACTATCTAGATGTATACAATAACAAAGGTAAGATTTGATTTCTATTGATATACAGTAGATTGTAATTCTTTGCTCAAATGTATTACATTATTTTTCCTTTTCTCTCCTTTTTCTATTTATTAGTTCATGACCATTCAATTTATTACTTAATGCAAATTTAATTGACTTTATTACGGGCAGATGTATGCCTCTGAATATAACTGTAGATTCTAACATGCCTTAGGATATTTCTGTATTTTGACTGCAAGTTATTAAGTAAATGTTATACAGGAAACAACACTAAAAACAGCTCTATTAACAAAGAGAAGTATTTTATGAAGTGCTGTTGTTGGTGTGTTTGGAGACCAGTGTTCAATATAATTATTTTGGTCACTTTTCTGCTCAAAAATTAATTAATGGGGTTTCTATACACAAATCTTCTAGCCAACTAACAAGCATTGACAGATCTTCAGTGGGTAAAGCTTGGAATACATATTGTCTGAGTTCCTTTATGTTTTGTTTATTAATCATTTGAAAGCAATTAGGTAGGAAATAAAATTCCATTAGCCAAAGAAAGGCTGTTGCACAAATAAGCAGTCATTGGTCACTCTATAAAGGCTTTGATGAATATGAGTGCTTGCAGCTTCTCTGAGTTTACTGCATTCCCTGAAATCTCTAATGAA